AGGGTGGCGGGGGGCCCCTGTCACAGGTTCTCTGCCCCCTGCATGGAAGGGCGCCGCCTGGTGCACCCCGGGTGGGAGCAGGGCTGAGTGGAGGGGGCTGCGCAGCCCGGGGGGCAGGACCCGGATGGAGAGGAGGCCCTGGACGGTGGTGTGAGTTCTGGTCCAGCTGCTCCGGGACAGTCACCAGGCTGCGTGGGCAGGGCCGCTGGCAGGGGTGCACGGGCGGCTGGGGCTCCCTGGTCTCTGCCCTCAGGCTGCCATCTGCAGTCTGCACGCACATGCACACACATGCCAACGTGCCTGCAAGTGCACAAGTGCGTGCCCGATTGTGCACCCATACGCAACCCCTGTGCATGCACACACACATGCATAAAGGCACACATCCACGCACATGTGCACTCAGGCACATGCACACGTACGCACACGGAAACGTGGACGGTCAGTCATCGAGGTGACAATGGTCCAGATAGGGGCCCCTCCGTCCGGGCAAGAGCCCTGCGCACGAGGGGAGCGGGATTGGCTGGAAACGGGCCTTTCTGCGTGCTCTGGGGACGCCGCCTCCAACTGCCGGGCAGGTGGGCTCCACGAAGGATGGCCAGCATGCGCTCTCAGTAGGAAGCTGTACTACTCTCCCTAGGAGGTTCTGTACTGCTCCAGGTGCGAAGCGATTGGGTGCCGAGACGGGGTCTCCCTGACATTGTGTAGGGTTGTGGGAAAAAGATGGTTGAGACTCCCTGAGGGTCAGCTGTCCTCATGTGGGGTCGGGAACTTGACGTCACACACCCTGCTACCTGTCACTAAGTCCCCGGCACTTCACCACTCAGCTCTCAGCTCCGCCTCTCCCGTGTCCTTAGCACGTGGTCACCCTTCTAGGCGCACACGGGTCTTTCGAATGACTGTTGGGTGACCGCGGTTCCAGTGGGTCCGCATCCTCTTCATTCTGTTTGTCTACCCTTGCTGCTTCGAAGAACTGAAAACAGGTCCCCCCACTCCAGTGAGATTAATGATGATGGTAGTGGTGATGGTGGTGATGGTGACGATGGTGGTGATGGTGACGATGGTGATGGTGATGGTGATGGTGATGGTGGTGGTGATGGTGATGGTGGTGATGATGATGATGATGATGGTGGTGGTGATGGTGATGGTGGTGATGATGATGATGATGATGGTGGTGGTGATGGTGATGGTGGTGATGATGATGATGATGATGGTGGTGGTGATGGTGATGGTGGTGATGATGATGATGATGATGGTGGTGGTGATGGTGATGGTGGTGATGATGATGATGATGATGGTGGTGGTGATGGTGATGGTGGTGATGATGATGATGATGATGGTGGTGGTGATGGTGATGGTGGTGATGATGATGATGATGATGGTGGTGGTGATGGTGATGGTGGTGATGATGATGATGATGATGGTGGTGGTGATGGTGATGGTGGTGATGATGATGATGATGATGGTGGTGGTGATGGTGATGGTGGTGATGATGATGATGATGATGGTGGTGGTGATGGTGATGGTGGTGATGATGATGATGATGATGGTGGTGGTGATGGTGATGGTGGTGATGATGATGATGATGATGGTGGTGGTGATGGTGATGGTGGTGATGATGATGATGATGATGGTGGTGGTGATGGTGATGGTGGTGATGATGATGATGATGATGGTGGTGGTGATGGTGATGGTGGTGATGATGATGATGATGATGGTGGTGGTGATGGTGATGGTGGTGATGATGATGATGATGATGGTGGTGGTGATGGTGATGGTGGTGATGATGATGATGATGATGGTGGTGGTGATGGTGATGGTGATGGTGGTGATTATGACGGTGATGGTGATGATGATGGTGATGGTGATGGTGGTGGTGATGCTGATGATAATAACTGCTCACGTTTACTGAGTGAACATGTGTTAGCTCTCTCTCCAGCCACAGATGAGGACACCGAGGCACAGAGGCCTGA